GGAATTAGTTGTAGTCTAGGTGGAATACATCACAGGAAGTCTATTGGAGATCCCGAGAGTAAGAAAGGATGGAGGATGGAGGGGTATAGACATGGATAGAGAATCATGAGAGGGGATGAAATGGAAGTTAGAGGATGTGAACAGGGGTACAGGAGGTTGGGAAGAAAGGTGGGGTTGGGGGAAAAGGTGTTGCAAAGCGAATTTATGGTGGGAAGAAGGGTGGGGTTGGGGAAGAGGTGTTGCAAAGGGAATGTATGGTGGGAAGAGGGTGGGGTTGAGGAAAAGGCATTGCAAAGGAAACTTATGGTGGAAGAAAGGTGGGGTTGGGGAAGAGGTGTTGCAAAGGGAATGTATGGTGGGAAGAGGGTGGGGTTGAGGAAAAGGCATTGCAAAGGGAATGTATGGTGGGAAGAAGGGTGGGGTTGGGGAAAAGGTGTTGCAAAGGGAATTTATGGTGGGAAGGGTGGGGTGGGGAAAAGGGGGAAACTTTGGGGAAGGGTGGAGAGGGGAAAAGGTGTTGCAAAGGGAATGTGGAAGAAGGGTGGGGTGGGAAGAAGTGTGCAAAGGGGTAGGGGAAAAGGTGGGGTTGAAAAGGTGTTGGGAATTTATGGTGGGAAGAAGTGTGGGATAGGGGAAAAGGTGTTGCAAAGGGAATTTATGGTGGGAAGAAGGGTGGGGTTGGGGAAAAGGTGTTGCAAAGAGAATTTACGGTGGGAAGAAGGGTGGGGTTGGGGAAAAGGGGTTGCAAAGGGAATTTTATGGTGGCAAGAAGGGTGGGGTTGGGGAAAAGGTGTTGCAAAGGGAATTTACGGTGGAAAAAAGGATGGTGTAGGGGAAAAGGTGTTGCAAAGGGAATTTACGGCGGGAAAAAGTGTGGGGTTGGGGAAAAGGCATTGCAAAGGGAATTTTATGGTGGGAAGAAGGGTGGGTTTGGGGAAAAGGCGTTGCAAAGGCAATTTATGGCGGGAAGAAGCGTGGGGTTGGGGAAAAGGCGTTGCAAAGGGAATTTTATGGTGGGAAGAAGGGTGGGTTTGGGGAAAAGGCGTTGCAAAGGCAATTTATGGAGGGAAGAAGCGTGGGGTTGGGGAAAAGGCGTTGCAAAGGGAATTTATGGTGGGAAGAAGAGTAGGGTTGGGGAAAAGGTGTTGCAAAGGGAATTTATGTATCGGTGATGTATTCGTGATGTCCGTTTTATTTTTTTTTATGTACAAGACGTTCTTGCTTGTACCAGAAAAATGCAATAAACAAATTAAAAAAAGAAAAAAAAAAGATGGCGGAGTTCCTACACATTACAGATGCACGGCACCCTACCCCGTTCCTAGTGCAGGAAGAAGTGGGTGGGTTCCTTGGCCCAGGATCCTGGTTACAAGTGGACATGACTTTATCAGTATAGGGGACTTGACCACTGCTGGAGCGCTGGGCCGATCATCTGAGAAAAGGTACGACACGGGCGCGTGTTATTTCACTTGTTTTGGTTTTTTTTCCCATCATTAAACTTTCACCCGTGAACAAAAGAAAAGTTTTGCGCCGAGGAACATTTAGCGAGGCTGCACACGTACTGAATGTTAATTCTTCGAGAACTGTACTTTCTCATGGCGGAAAGCAATTTAGTACTCAGTACAACACTTATGAAAGGCCTGTCATCCAAATCAGGGCCAGGCTTCAATTATGACTCCCCCTTCAAGGCCACTTCACAATGCCATTCCTCTGACCACATATTTCTGTGGCGGCATAGTCAGCAGCGATTTGTATAAAATAAGTGCATGGAGCTCAGAGGGACTAGTATTGGGTGTATGCGGAGCCTGAACAGAAATAAAATGTGTTATTAAAATGAAGCGTGGAGCAGCCTGCTACCTAACTGAAGCTTTGCACCGCTATGTCATGGCCGTATGTGGCGTCCTAGACATGCCAGTCAAGGGGCTACCAGAACTGAAAAACAAAAAAGACTGAAAAAGAAAAAGAAACTGCCGCAAAAAAATATATTGCCCACATGGAAGAAAAATATATTTTAAAAATATTATTTCCAAATAGATTGGCATATATTTGAAATACTACAATTTTGTCCATATTCAATATATTTCAATAAATATACAAATATAGGTGAAACTCGAAAAATGAGAATCTGGTGCATTCATTCATTTATTTCAGTGCAGCAACTTAAAAGGTGACACTAATATATGAGACTCATTACATGCAAAGCAAGATAGTTCAAGCCGTGATTTGTCATCATTGTGAGGATTATGGCTTACAGCTCATGAAAACCCCAAATCCACAATCTCAGAAAATGAGAATATTGTGAAAAGGTGGAATAATCTCGGCTCAAAGTGTCCCACTCTAATCAGCTCATTCAGCCATAACACCTGCAAAGGGTTCCTGAGCCTTTAAATGGTCTCTCAGTCGGGTTCAGTAGGAATCACAATCATGGGAAAGACTGCTGACCTGACACCATCACTGACACCCTCCATAAGGAGGGAAAGCCTCAAAAGGTCATTGCAGAAGAAGTTGGATGTTCCCAAAGTGCTGTATCAAAGCACATTAATAGAAAGTTATGTGGAAGGGAAAAGTGTGGAAGAAAAAGCTGCACAAGCAGCAGGGATGACCGCAGCCTGGAGAGGATGGTCAAGAAAAGGCCATTCAAAAGTGTTGGGGACTTTCACAAGGAGTGGACTGAGGCTGGAGTCAGTGCATCAAGAGCCACCACACACAGACGGATCCTGGACATGGGCTTCAAATGTCGTATTCCTCTTGTCAAGCCGCTCCTGAACAACAAACAACGTCAGAAGCGTCTTACCTGGGCTAAAGAAAAACAGACCTGGTCTGCTACTCAGTGGTCCAAAGTCCTCTTTTCTGATGAGAGCAACTTTTGCATCTCATTTGGAAACCAAGGACCCCGAGTATGAAGGAAAAATGGAGAGGCCCAAGGACCCCGAGTATGGAGGAAGATTGGAGAGGCCCAAGGACCCCAAGTATGGAGGAAGAATGGAGAGGCCCAAGAACCCCGAGTATGGAGGAAGAATGGAGAGGCCCAAGGACCCCGAGTATGGAGGAAGAATGGAGAGGCACAAGGACCCCGAGTATGGAGGAAGAATGGAGAGGCCCAAGGACCCAGAGTATGGAATACGAATGGAGAGGCCCAAGGACCCCGAGTATGGAGGAAGAATGGAGAGGCACAAGGACCCCCGAGTATGGAGGAAGAATAGAGAGGCACAAGGACCCCGAGTATGGAGGAAGAATGGAGAGGCACAAGGACCCCGAGTATGGAGGAAGAATGGAGAGGCACAAGGACCCCGAGTATGGAGGAAGAATGGAGAGGCACAAGGACCCCGAGTATGGAGGAAGAATGGAGAGGCCCAAGGATCCTGAGTATGGAGGAAGAATGGAGAGGCCCAAGGACCCCGAGTATGGAGGAAGAATGGAGAGGCACAAGGACCCCGAGTATGGAGGAAGAATGGGAGGGGCACAAGGACCCCGAGTATGGAGGAAGAATGGAGAGGCACACACTGCAAGATGCTTGAAGTCCAGTGTGAAGTTTCCACAGTCTGTGTTGATTTGGGGAGCCATGTCATCTGCTGGTGTTGGCCCACTGTGCTTCATTAAGTCCAGGGTCACCGCAGCCGTCTACCAGGAGATTTTGGAGCACTTCATGCTTCCTTCCGCAGACCAGCTTTATGGGGATGCTGACTTCATTTTCCAGCAGGACTTGGCACCTCCCACAGTGCCAAAAGCACCAAAACCTGGTTCAATGACCGTGGGATTACTGTGCTTGATTGGCCTGAGCTGAACCCCATAGAGAATCTATGGGGCATTGCCAAGAGAAAGAGGAGAGACATGAGACCGAACAATGCAGAAGAGCTGAAGGCCGCTATTGAAGCATCCTGGTCTTCCATAACACCTCAGCAGTGCCACAGGCTGATAGCTTCCATGCCACGCCGCATTGAGGCAGTAATTGCTGCAAAAGGGGCCCCCAAACCAAGTACTGAGTACATATGCAGCTTCTACTTTTCAGAGGTCTGATATTGTTCTATGTACAATCCGTGTTTTATTGATTGCATGGAATATTCTCATTTTCTGAGATTGTGGATTTGGGGTTTTCATGAGCTGTAAGCCATAATCATCACAAATGATGACAAATCACGGCTGGAACTATCTTGCTTTGCATGGAATGAGTCTCATATATTAGTTTCACCTTTTAAGTTGCTGCACTGAAAATAAATCAACTTTTGCACCATATTCTCATTTTTCGAGTTTTACCTGTATATACTGCATGTTGAAATGCGTTATTTATATATTACGAAACATGCATAAATATTTTAAATATATTCTTCAGATTTCTTTTAACATACACTTTTACAAATATTTGTAAATTCATTCCAAAAATGTAGATTTGTATATTTAAAGACATACAGTATATTTGAAACGTATTTTTAAAAAAATATTTTGCAATAAAAACACATTTCAGCATGCAGTATACATATATATATATTTATTTAAATATATTGAACATGCCCAAAATTGTAGTATTTCAAATATATATTTTTCATATATCTTGTAATAAAAATGCATTTCAACATACAGTGTGTATATATATTTATTGAAATATATTTTAAAATATATTGAATATGGCCAAAATTGTAGCATTTCAAATATATGTCAATATATTTGGGAAGAATATTTTTAAAATATATTTTGAATATGTTTTCCTTCCATATGTGTAGTGACTCCTAAGGGGGTAATGCTACATCTATTTCCTGATACTAATTCACAGCTGCGTTAACGGTATCTATACTCATGTTCTTATAAGTGCTTCCATTAACTTTCATTCAACTGGGTGGGTCAAAGGGCCTGAGGATGTTCTTGGAATTGAGGCGCAGAACAGAGAACCCCAATTACCAAGCAGCTCCTTTGGGGGTAGTGCTACAGCCAATTAAGACATCTCTACCCATATGGAAGAAAAATGTATTTGAAATACTACAATTTTGGTTGTGTGGTCAGTTCCTTATCACTTCCAGTCCGGACACTTTCCCCCCCCCTTCCAGTCCGGACACTTTCCCCCCCCTTCCAGTCCGGACACTTTCTCCCCCCCTTCCAGTCCGGACACTTTCACCCCCTTCCAGTCCGGACACTTTCCCCCCCTTCCAGTCCGGACACTTTCCCCCCCTTCCAGTCCAGTCCGGACACTTTCACCCCCTTCCAGTCTGGACACTTTCCTTCCACCCTCCTTCCAGTCCGGACACTTTCACCCCCTTCCAGTCTGGACATATTCACCCCCTTCCAGTCCGGACACTTTCCCCCCCTTCCAGTCGGACACTTTCACCCCCTTCCAGTCCGGACACTTTCACTTTCACTTTCACCCCCTTCCAGTCCGGACACTTTCACCCCCTTCCAGTCCGGACACTTTCACCCCCTTCCAGTCCGGACACTTTAACCCCCTTCCAGTCCGGACACTTTCACCCCCTTCCAGTCGGACACTTTCCCCCCTTCCAGTCCGGACACTTTCACCCCCTTCCAGTCCGGACACTTTCCAGTCCGGACACTTTCCCCCCCTTCCAGTCCCCCTTCCAGTCCGGACACTTTCACCCCCCTTCCCGTCCGGACACCACCCCCTTCCAGTCCGGACACTTTCCCCCCCACCCCCTTCCAGTCCGGACACTTTCCCCCCCCCTTCCAGTCCGGACACTTTCACCCCCTTCCAGTCACCCCCTTCCAGTCCGGACACTTTTTCACCCTTTCCCCCTTCCAGTCCGGACACTTTCACCCCCTTCCAGTCCGGACACTTTTCACCCCTTCCAGTCCGGACACTTTCCCCCCCTTCCAGTCCGGACACTTTCACCCCCTTCCAGTCCGGACACTTTCTCAGTCCCCCCTTCCAGTCCGGACACTTTCACCCCCTTCCAGTCCGGACACTTTCACCCCCTTCCAGTCCGGACACTTTCACCCCCTTCCAGTCCGGACACTTTCCCCCCCCTTCCAGTCCGGACACTTTCACTTCCAGTCCCCTTTCCAGTCCGGACACTTTCACCCCCTTCCAGTCCGGACACTTTCACCCCCTTCCAGTCCGGACACTTTCACCCCCCCTTCCAGTCCGGACACTTTCACCCCCTTCCAGTCCGGACACTTTCCCCCCCTTCCAGTCCGGACACACCCCCCCTTCCAGTCCGGACACTTTCACCCCCTTCCAGTCCGGACACTTTCACCCCCCTTCCAGTCCGGACACTTTCACCCCCTTCCAGTCCGGACACTTTCCCCCCCTTCCAGTCCGGACACTTTCATCCCCCCCTTCCAGTCCGGACACTTTCACCCCCTTCCAGTCCGGACACTTTCACCCCCTTCCAGTCCGGACACTTTCCCCCCTTCCAGTCCGGACACTTTCCCCCCCTTCCAGTCCGGACACTTTCCCCCCCTTCCAGTCCGGACACTTTCACCCCCTTCCAGTCCGGACACTTTCCCCCCCTTCCAGTCCGGACACTTTCACCCCCTTCCAGTCCGGACACTTTCCCCCTTCCAGTCCGGACACTTTCACCCTCCTTCCAGTCCGGACACTTTCACCCCCTTCCAGTCCGGACACTTTCACCCCCTTCCAGTCCGGACACTTTCCCCCCCTTCCAGTCCGGGACACTTTCCCTCCCCCCTTCCGGACACTTTTCCGTCCGGACACTTTCACCCCCTTTCCCACTTTCCCCCCTTTCCCGGGACACCCCCCTTCCAGTCCGGACACCCCCCTTCCAGTCCGGACACTTTCCCCCCCTTCCAGTCAGTCCGGACACTTTCACCCCCTTCCCCCTTCACGCCCCCTTCCAGTCCGGACTTCCCCACTTTCCCCCCCTTCCAGTCCGGACACACTTTCCCCCCCTTCCAGTCCGGACACACTTTCCCACTTTTCCCCCCCCTTCCAGTCCAGTCCAGTCCAGACACTTTTCAGTCCGGACACTTTCAGTCCATACACTTTTCACCCCCTTCCAGTCCGGACACTTTCACCCAGTCCGGACACTTTCACCCCCTTCCAGTCAAGGACACTTTCACCCCCTTCCATCCGGACACTTTCAGTCTCGTCCGGACACTTTCACCCCTTCCAGTCCGGACACTTTCACCCCCTTCCAGTCCGGACACTTTCCCCCCCTTCCAGTCCGGACACTTTCACTCCCCCTTATGACTTTTTTTTTGCATTTTTTTGAGACAGATAAAACATTCTGTTGGTGGTATTTTTTTCACCAGATAAAACATTCTGTTGGTGGTATTTATTCACCACTGGCATTTTTTTTTATATTATTTTTTGCTATATAAATGAAAAAGTCCAAAAAATTTTGAAAAAAAAAGTGTTTTTCTTATAAAATTTTGCAAATAAATAATATTTCATCATACATCTTGGCAAAAACTTATTCAGTTATATTTTTTAGCAAAAAAAAAATAACCCAAATTAGTTTATAACCAAAAATTATAATTTTTAAAAAAATGTTTTTACATTTTTACTTTTATATTATTATTTAAGTTTTTTTTTTTTTTTTTTTTTTTTTTTTTTTTTTTTTTTACATACTGTCACCCTAGCAGTGTGGGGTCACCATGGTGACACTGTACTACTTGTGGGGGGTGATGAAGATTTTTTTTTTTTTTTACACTGATTTTGCACCCATAAAGGCTGTAAGAGGAATCATTTCCCTTTCTCTCTGGCTGCATTTCTGCAGCCATTGAGAAATACTGTGTGAGCTGTGATCGGTCACCGCTTGTCACATGGTACAAGGCTGTTGTGAATGGCCCTGTACCATGTGACCTCGGTGATCATTCACAGATTTCACATGTAGTAAGCAATGATGTCAGAAGTGACATCTTGCTTACTACTCTTCATGTGATCTCTGATTGGCCAAGGGTGGCCTCTTGCACAATTCCTGTCTGAGAACCCCAGAAGTTTGAGACAATGGTTTGGTGCAAATGGCAGTAAGCTGGACCCGTGTACTTGAACTTGGGAGCACTGGAGTCAGGCAAGCAGAAACGCAGCAATGACAGCACCCCGACTTTGCCCAGACAGTAGAGCCGGGTCACAAGCCAAGTAACTTAAAAAAGCCACCCAGGAAGGCACAAATTACGAGTAGGATCAAGGTCAGAGATGAGCAGAGGTTTTCAGGCAACGAGGTACAGAATTGATAGGCAAAATCCTGGTCAAGGGTCCAGGCCGAGGTCGGTAACACAGGTAGGCAGCAGACATAAACAGGCAAGGATAATACAGAGGCAGGTCAGACAAAAGCCGGGTCAAGAAAAATCCGGGATTAAGGATAACAGAGATATGAGCTGAAAGACCATCCAGTAACAATCCCATGTAGGGACTAGGTTTAAATAGGCCACTAGGTGCCAGTATCTGTGGTAGACATGCATCCACGTGCACATTCATGCACGCTTGGTTAGATTTCCATGCCAGAACACATATGCTCAGAGACTCCGCTCTGTCCTGGCTCTCCTCCTATCTATCGCAGCGCTCCTTCAGTGTTACCTATAACACTGCCACCTCCCCCTCACTCCCCCTCTCTGTTGGGGTCCCCTCTCTGTCCTCGGGCCCCTTCTCTTCTCCATCTACACCTCCTCCCTTGGCCAACTGATACACTCTCACGGCTTCAACTACCATCTCTAAGCTGATGACACTCAAATCTATCTCTCCACCCCTCGATTCCACCCCTTCAGTCTCCGCCCGAATCACACACCTACTGAGCGACATATCAGACTGGATGTCACTCCACTTTCTCAAATTAAACCTTGCCAAAACTGAGCTCCTAGTTTTTCCCCCAGCCCGCGCCCCCCCCCCCCAACCTCTCCATCACGACCAACAATGCCACCATCAACCCCACCTCGCAAGCCAAAGTACTAGGTGTCATTCTAGACTCCAATCTGTCTTTCCAGCCCAAGATCCAATTGCTGACAAATTCATGTAGACTCCACCTCCTCAACATCTCCAAAATACGTTCGTTCCTAACTCCTGAAACCACTAAGCAACTCATTCACTCCCTCATCATATCACGAGTTGACGACTACTGCAACTCCCTCCTCACTGGCCTACCCCAACACAGGCTATCCCCGCTTCAGTCTATCCTGAACTCAGCGGCCAGACTCATCCACCTCAACAACCCATCCGTATCTGTATAATAATAATAATATGCATGCATATGAAAATGGGCACAATCTCTCTGACGGCTGACAAGAGGTTCCTGACAGCTGTGGACAGAGCTGTGGAGGGCAGTGAGGGCCATGAGGGCTGCTGGTGAGCTGTGTGCTGAGCCCAGAGTACCACAGAGGCTACAGAGAGACAGAATGGCCGCAGGGACTTGGACAATTAAGTATTAAGCTGCTGTAATGTGCCGTACCGCTGTGGGACAAAGACCAGGCCAAGGGAGCCTCAATTTGTGGTGCTGAGGTAAGATAGGAGGAAAGAAGATAACCCCAGGAGGCCCGCACAGGCCGAGGGTTGCAGAGAGGGAGAAGCCTGTGGACACAGTCAGCACCGACTTGAGAGGGGAGCCCCGTGTGTGGTGTGACCTCTCACCTGGCCTCCAGGGGATGGTCCATGACCTACACTAGTGACCTCTCAGCCACTTGTATTGATATTGGCCTTACTGCTGGTTGCTTAAGAACTTTGTTGCCATGTGTAGAATCGGCCCATGTCATGGTTCAGTCTGCAGTTTCCTGCCTGTGTTATTCTCCCCCCCCCCCTGCTGTAGTGGTTCTGCTAGACCTCTATTTCTTTTCACATGTTGTCTGGCTTCTGTGCTCACCTATGGGCGTCGCCTGCTATCCTGTGGGGTTTTTATCTCCTTTAACTCTTCCTGGCCCGCCTCCTAGTTTGTTTCCCTATATAAGTCATGCTCAGTGTGTTGCCTGAGTAACTTCCTAGTTCTTTGAGCTCCTCCTGGTGTTTCTTGTATTGAGTGTGTGACTTCCCATGTATCAACAACAGCTTTGTCTTCTGTTTGTGCTTATCTTCCACCTGCCCTGACCTCGGCTCATTTCCCTCTTCTGTCTCCTGTCATCTGTACTCTGCATACGTGGTCTCATCAGTTGCGTTTCCCTGGGGGCAACAGCCTGGTTCCAGCTTGCTGCAAGTCCATCTCCACCATCAGGGGCCCTGGTGGAGAAGCAGGCTGGGGCTTAGACTCCAAGGCCTGAGAAACTGGGTTGGCAGCAGCCTGGTTCCAGCTTGCTGCAAGTCCATATCCACACTCATGGGCCCTGGTGGAAAAGCAGGCTGGGGCTTACACTCCATGCCCAGAGAAACTGGGTTGGCAGCAGCCTGGTTCCAGCTTGCTGCAAGTCCATATCCACCCTCAGGAGCCCTGGTGGAGAAGCAGGCTGGGGCTTAGACTCCATGCCCTGAGAAACTGGGTTGGCAGCAGCCTGGTTCCAGCTTGCTGCAAGTCCATCTCCACCCTCAGAAGCCCTGGTGGAGAAGCAGGCTGGGGCTTAGACTTCACGGCCTGAGAAACTGGGTTGGCAGCAGCCTGGTTCCAGCTTGCTGCAGGTCCATCTCCACCCTCAGGGGCCCTGGTGGAGAAGCAGGCTGAGGCTTAGACTCCATGCCCTGAGAAACTGGGTTGGCAGCAGCCTGGTTTCAGCTTGCTGCAAGTCCATATCCACCCTCAAAGGCTCCTGGTGGAGAAGCAGGCTGGGGCTTAGACTCCACGCCCTGAGAAACTGGGTTGGCAGCAGCCTGGTTCCAGCTTGCTGCAAGTCCATCTCCACCCTCAGGAGCCCTGGTGGAGAAGCAGGCTGGGGCTTAGACTCCATGGCCTGAGAAACAGGGTTGGCAGCAGCCTGGTTCCAGCTTGCTGCAGGTCCATCTCCACCCTCAGGGGCCCTGGTGGAAAAGCAGGCTGGGGCTTAGACTCCATGCCCTGAGAAACTGGGTTGGCAGCAGCCTGGTTTCAGCTTGCTGCAAGTCCATATCCACCCTCAGAGGCCCTGGTGGAGAAGCAGGCTGGGGCTTAGACTCCACGCCCTGAGAAAACTGGGTTGGGGCAGCAGCCTGGTTCCAGCTTGCTGCAAGTCCATATCCACCCTCAGGGGCCCTGGTGGAGAAGCAGGCTGGGGCTTAGACTCCATGCCCTGAGAAACTGGGTTGGCATTCTACAAGAATTCACTCTCACAGACACCTGACACCAAGACTTTTAGGGCTTTACCATTGGATTAAAAATACTCTCGGCAGACGGAGTAAGCACTCCAAGCCGAAGGCTCCAGCCCTGGCAGACGATGTCTTCAACTCCCCAATGGCCAGTGGTATAGTTGGGGCCACAGTATTACAAATAGGCCATTGCGTTGTCACTCTCTCTTAACAAATATTCCTCTACAAGGCTTTAATTCCCTATTTCTCAAAGAAAACCCACTTTGTTCTACTGGTATGTTCTGAGTTAATGGGTTCAGTTAGGACAAGGCCCAGCTGGGCACAGCATATGGACTCAGCTTCTATCCAGCAGCCCCCCACTATTTTCATATTAACTGGAACAGTCCCATACACATGCAAGCACACACCTCATTCTTGGTATTAGATCTACTGCAAATTCTGTTTCAGATTCGTTCGCCAAAGTGCTACTAAACCCAGGACCCT